CTCTTGCCCCGCTGCTCGTCGCGCAGGTTGACGGCGCTGTAGACGGCCTCCAGCGGGTAGGAGCAGGGGCAGCTGGGCAGGTCCGTCAGCACCTTGCTCAGGTACTTGGTGAGGAAGTCGCTCTTGCAGTTCAGCCACTTCTCGCAGCTGTCCACCTCTGGGGAGGGTACCAAAAGGGTGAGGGCACGCACGCTCTGCACCCCACTTTACCCGGCAGCCATTTGCCTGAAGCCATGCCAGCACCACCGGCGGAACCTGCAACCACCAGGGAGGAGCAGCCAGGCTCCTGGGACGAGCTGAAGCCAGCTCCACCCCCAAGGCAGTGACAGAGGGAAGGGGTTTTGTACTGGCAACATTCCCCTGTGGGAGAGGGCACATGGCAGGCTGGCTTCAGCCACTGAACCCTAAAGCTGTGTTGTAGCAGGGCTGCGGGAGCAACTGGGTTTCCCAGCATGACCACTGAAGCCTGCACATGGCAGTGGTTTGGTGACTTAGGTTTGGACACCAGACACAGGACCCCTTGGCTGAACCCTGAACCCTCCCCACCAGCCAGCTACGACCCTCCCAAGGTCTGTCACTGAAGCCCCCAGAGCAAAGCAGAGGCAGAGGCTGACCTGAGTTGAACAGCTCTGTGGTGTTGTCGCTTTTGAAAGGCGTCTCCTCTGTGGGGAAGACCATCTCTTCTTCTGCTCCTTGAGACAAAAAAAACCCAAAGAACCTGGCTGAACACGGGAAGAAAGGTGGTTTTTCCCTCTGTATGTGCACCAGACACCACCCATCTTCCAGCCCCTCTCCTGCCACTTCTTTGGTAACATGGCCCTGTGATTGGAAGGAAGGGCCAGCAGCAAGACTGGCCCAGCAGAGGTTGTTAGTTATGTAAATCCCTGTGGATAGAGCTGGCTCTCAACACGCCTCTCAGGAGAGGTTTTCAAGCTCCCAGTATGAGAGAGATGCAAGAAGTCACACACCAAACTTAATGCCAGCCCACACAACTACCCATGGAGCCATGAAACCCAATCATAGCTTCTGTGGGGAAACAAAGCCCCCTGGTCATTAGCCCTGACCACATTAAACATAACTAATTCTTGAAGCATGAGCAAAGCCTCCAGCAGTGGGCCAGCCCACATCAAAGTCAGACAGTAGCCAAGGACTGTTCTGGCAGGGGCTCACCAGGGCAGTGTGTCAGATCGCAGGTCCTCGACTCTGTCGCTGTGCAGGCATAGCCACAGGAGCGGGTCCTCTTCTGGTTGCCACTGCCACAGGTGATGCTGCAAGGGGACCATGGGCTCCACTCCTCCTCATCTTCATAGTCTGTGCACAGCAGGCAAGAGGCAGAGAGTGACAGATCTCAGCAAAGCTTTAGCAGCAGGGGAGACAGCAGCCACCTGGGACCTCCCTCAGTTCTGCCTCCATCCCTGAGCAGGGACAGTGCTGCCTGGGGCACACGGAGGTGCCCAGCCATGCAGTGCCAAGGGCCAAACCCATCCTCACTGCCAACCCAAGGCAAGCAGCCCTGAGCAAAGGCTCGCATTCTCACAGCTTTGCTCCCAGTCATCCCAACACAAGCAGGTATTGCTGTCCACCCCCACATGGCCTAGCACACTGGCCATGATGCTGAACACGGATATTAGCAAAGGCTGGCTGGTTTTGGGGTCATGGCCAGCAAGCTGCAGGCAGGGGCTGCTGTGGTGTCCCAGCCCATCTGCCCACTAGAAACTGCCATCTCTGCAGCTTCTCTCCTGGGGGGAACCCAGGTCTGTGGAAAAGGCTGCTGGCACTGATGTCACTACAGGGACCTGAGTCAATGGCAGCAGCACTTGTCATTAAACATTGATATTGTATGTCTGATCTGAGCATGCCTTCGCTAGAGCCCATGCTCCAGTGTGACTACATGCAAGGACAATTCCTGCTGGGACACTGGCATGTCTGACTGCTGGCAGCCCCGGCCGAGTGTGCTGGCCTTTATGCTTGGCATGCCTGCTTATTTTGTAAGTAGGAGCTGAGCACCAGTGATGCCTGGTGCAGGGCTGCAGGCCAGGCAGGACAGTGCAGACCCGCATTGCTGAAGAACTCACCGTAATTGTATTTTTCCTTAAAGATCCAGTTTTTCTGCCCGGGCCATGGTTGGTCCCAGTTACCACCTACTCCACTAAGCATGGACTCCTCCTCATAATCTGTTGTGTAATCTTCCTCTTCATCATCATCCTCTTCTTCTTCTTCCCTGTCCCCTACATCCAGGTTGTCATCCTCTTCCTCCTCTTCCTCCTCCTCTTCATCTTCCTCCTCCTCCTCTCCCTCAGCAGGGTCAGTGTATTCCCAGAAGAGGGGCCAGAATAGGTCCTTGTGAGATAGCCACTCAGAGGATGTCAGAGACCAGTCATTGCTTGTCTCCTTCAACAAGTCCATCTCCATCTCAGCCTGAGGATCATCCACCACTTCAATGGTCACCTGGAGGGCAGATATGAGGCGAGGCAGTGAGCTGGGGCACAGCCCTTGGACAGACCCACCAGACCATGCCCAAGAGGCCACAGACACTCAGGGCTGCAGGACTGTATGAGGAGCACAAATGGTATCTCCTCAGCCAAAGGACTGAGCAGGGACAGAGTGGGAAGCACAGGGTGGCTGCTGGTCACCCACAGGGGCCAATGCCACCCTCAGAAATTGAGAGCTCCCCCATGTAAGGATGGTTTACTCCTGCTCTATGAAGAGGGGGTGGGGAGGACAGGGGAAAGGCTCTGAGCAAATTCCTCAGTCGAGGAGCAGCTTCTCCATGCTAGCTATCTGCAGCTGGAAGTCACCAAGAAAACAGATGACAGTGGCCACACAGACCCTGCTCATGAGATCTTTTGCCTTAAGGAATGAAATGAGGCTGGAGAGCACCACTTTCACCACAGCACTCACCCACATCCCCCCGTGGCCCTCCCAGACCCACTCCCCACCTGGATGTTGGGGTTCTGGGCACTCAGGTCCACGTTGGCCAGCCCCGGCAAGTTCTGCAGGTCCAGCATGAAGGGCAGGCTCTCCTCCTGGCCAGCAGCACTGGGCTGGGGCAGCACAGGGCTCCTGGCAGCCGGCTGAGGCAGCCCTCGGCGCCTGTGCCGGCGCGGGCCGGCCTGCCCGCTGCGCCGCAGCCCCCGCGGCCTGCCCGGCGGGGACAGCTCCTCGTGCCCTGCGGAGCGCGGGCCGGGTGACGCTGACACCTGCATGGGGAAGAGTCACAGGAACAGCTCCTGACGGTGCTGGTGCAGGCAGGGAGCAAACCACCACCCAGCAAAGACGGGTCTGGTCTCCTGCCCCAAACAGTTCCTCCACCCCATCGTACTGCAGAATCAGCAGAGCAATTAACATGTTAATCAATCAAGTTAATGCCAAGTGCCCTGTGCTGTGCCAGGGCTCAGTTCTGCTGCACCTGAACCTACAGGTCTATTCAGACTGGTACTTCCCAATCTCATGACCACCCTCCCTGCACCCCTCTGCTGTCCCATTGCCCATCTTGTCTGGCTTTCCACTTCTCACTCTCCCTTTTTAGCTATTTCTCAATCCCTGGAAATGGGTTAACAGCAAGGGTTGCTTCTGGTCACAGAGCTACCACAGATCATGTTTAATACTTTCATATATTTATATTAAAAGTTTACAACCAGGGCTTTATGACAAAGGGGAACGCCTCACCCAAATACATTGTTCTGTGGTACTGGTATTAGGGCAGATGACTTCAAGCAGCACAGGTTTAATTGAAATTTCTGATGGTGCCCAAAGGCAACCACAAAGGTGGAAAGAAACTGCTGGTAGATATAACCCAGCTACCTTTAGCTCTTTGGGAAAGAGAAGATTCCCAGCCAAACAAGTCAACAAAACTCACTTGAGAGTGCTGCCAGTGGCTCTCAGTGCTGCTGCCACTCCAGGGGCACATGGCACATGCATGGCAGGAGGAGCAGGGCTGGCAGACAGGGAGCCCTGCCCCAGAGGCAGCACCAGCCAAGCACTGCGTTTGCCCCAGTCCCGCGTTCCCGTCCCGCACTGGCACCGCAGAGCAGCGGGACTCCAGGGGCCAGAGGGCTCCAGGGTGCCCACGAAACACGAGACGGGAACAGCTGGCAAAGCCCCCCCGAGGCACGGGCGTCCTTGGGAAAGTCTGCAGGGCCCCGCAGCTCAAGGCTGGGAGCAGAGGTGCCCGCACTCCCAGCATCTCCGTCAGTGTCTGCCTTTTTCTGGCTGCCCGGCTGAAACCCCCCTTTGTTCCCAAGCTCTCACCCTTCGCACCAGCCCGGCCGAAAGCCGTGGGATTAACGAAGAACACGGAGTGCCCCCTCCCCGCAGCCGGGCGGGGGGGACGCAGAGAGGCATTTCTACCTGCAATTAGAGCCAGATGGTTCGGGGAAGGACTCCCCTCCCTTTCATCCTGATCACTGGAGCACTTCAAAGGCAGCTGGAGCCTAGCCAGACTCTCATGAGCGCACACAGCCCGTCCCCAGCCCTGTCCCCGTACATCAAAGCCCACGATCCCTCCATCCCCGGGGGAGGGAAAAGAGCAGCAGGGACGCTGCTGGTCCCTTGGCTGCTGCCCAGGGCAGGCTGAAGGCAGAGAAGGGCCGGTGACAGACTCCACCAGATGGGCCCTGAGCAGAGAGGGCTGCAGAGAGGACAGAACCTGGGCTGCCCAGAGAGAGTCCTCCCTGGCCTGGAGGACTCCTGTGGCACTGCTGGTAGCAAACCTGAGCAGAAAGACCCCCCTGCACACACCTTCCCCTCTCAGCTCCCCCTCTGTCCCCATCCAAACCACAGTGCTTTCGGGAAGAATGCATGGGGATAATGCCTGGCTCTGTCTCAGCCTAGTTCCCAGTGCCTTAGCCCCTTGCTAGGTCTCCTGTCATGTTCCAGGAGTCCTTGACAAGAAGCAAGGAGCTCAGGTGGAACAAAAACAGCAAAGGGGGCTGAGCAGGCAAACACAGCCATATCCCAGTGCTGGCAGCACGACACTGCCTGCTGTGCTGGGTCTGCTGCCAGCTGCACAAGCCCAACACAACCCCTGCACAAGAGACTGGCAGCAGCCAGGAAAGGCTGGCGTTCCTGCCCAATTTGCAAAGAGCTTATTGGGCTGGGTGAGCTCGTGTCACACACAACCCAAATTTAATACACATGGAAAGTGAGGTCTCCTCTAGCAACAAGATCTGAGCTCACTCAAGGACACCAGAGAAAGCAAGCCAGGAGCAGACTCAAAGTCTCCAAATTTACACTCAGTGCCTAATTCAGATTTTACGCCCAAACAAGCTCAAGAAATTTAGAGTACTGTTCCCACAGGGAAAATGTAAAACTGCTCCAGGAGAACTGGCTGCAAAAATATTGCAGGGCAAACAGAACTCCCTCAGCTCCCAGATACTCTGGAGGCATAAGAATGACAGGGGTGGCCACCCAGAATGGCCAAGAGCCCTTCAGCAATGGTCACTGCAATGTACCACCCAACACCTCCCTCCTCTTGGCATCTGCATCACTCTAAAGGCTTACTGGGTTAAAATCTCTCCCTACATCAGATGTCCCTCCTATCTAAGCTCAGTGCCCTGCCCCAGACAGTCAATCAACGGATTTAACAAGCTCTTAGAAGGCCCAGTGCTCCCTCCAGGTCAGAGCATCCATGGCATCAGATGTGTCTTCTCCAAGTCATCAAGGGTCCCCTGACAGCCACACGAGCACCACCTGAGGTTTGCACCCCTCTCCATGACACCCACCCTCTCCTCTGCACTGTCCAAGCAGCAGCTGGAAAAAGCCACCAAGGATGGAGCTCAGCCACTGCAGTGGGCTAAGGGAAGAGAAGACTTTGCCGGTCTAGAGGGAACACTCTATTCCCCTGCTCTCTGCAGAGCACAGGAGAAAGCCTGCAAACCATTGGAGAGCTCGTCAGCAGCAGCAGCAGCTCCCTTCCCCTTCCACCCCCATGGAAGCAGAGTGCAGCACTGGGGAGCCATCAGTGTCTTCCAGCTGAGTTCCAACCTTCTCCTGCAACCAGCCAGCACCAAGCAAAGGAACAAGCTGAACAAGGAACTGCCACAGCTGTTCCTGTTTACACTTGGCATATCCTACCTGGCTGGGAATAAGGGCAGGAACCTGAGAGAAACTCTGGGGCAGCACTCAGGAAAGAGCATGGAGTTTCCCTTTGTGAAGATCATGTTTTGACTGCAGGCTGTGAGCAGGATCATACCTGCCTACCTAGCAGCCCAGGAGCCCTTCCCACATGGTCCAGGCTGTCCCACATGTAGGATTGACCACTAAAACACCTTGAGGCACAAGCTTAGAAGGTTGGAAGGGGAAATAACTCATTAGCAATTCACCCCAGTACCATGCCTACTTTGTACATAACATGGGCAACAAGGTGTGTGGAAAAGGTGTGGGAAAAGGCCACACATCACTGCTCTAGAGACCAAAAGCTGACATTTTTCCATTTCTAGACCATACACCTCTATAAGAACTGCTGAAAAATCTGGAGATGATGAAGAGAACAGCCACAAAAACATTTCAAGGGATGGAAAGTCTTGTACAAGTCTTGTACAAGTCTTTTCCAGTGAAAGACTTGTACAATTCAATTTGTTTCTCATGCTGAAAAAAGAAAGCAATGACTCAGTTTTCCAGTTCTTTAAGGCAGTAATCCATCAGGCACCAGAGACTATAATCCAGAACAGAAACACATAATAGGAAGCAATGTGCCCAAGTCAAAGCCAAAAATATTTAACTGAGGAATAAGGATCATGCTTTTAATGCCATAGGTAATTAACCACAGGAACAATTAAAAAGAAAAGTGACAATTTTTCTTGTGGAGACTGCCAAACCACATGACTGGGCTGCAACTGCACCAGGGAAGAAATTCAAGGCTCTAGTAATTTCTTCTGCTCTTAAAATTTGTAATTTTGCTAGAAATGTCCATAAGGCTTTGAACTAAATCTGGAATAAGGAAGCAAATGACCAATGTTCATGTGCTGCAGCTCTTACTATAAGAGACATGACATTTCCGTTTAAAACCTGAAAACATCATCAGACTAGCTCCTGTGCTGTGCTGCACTTTGGCAAGCAGGGACACCACCACCCTGCCACTTGCACAACCACAGGTACTCGTCCCTGCAGCACGTTCCTCAGCCTCCCTGCAGGAGCTGCAAGCTGCCAGAGCACCGAACAGCAGTGCTCTTTGTAACCTGACAGACTGCTGAGCAGAGCTGCCCCTCATCATGGGCTTACACAATCCAAGCACATTTGAGAGAACCCCCTGGCAGCGAAGCACTGCGAGAGCATCAGCAGCCAGTGCAGCACACAAGTCACCAGCACAGGACAAGCTCAGAGGATGCAGCTTCTACCCACACCTATCCCAAGCCAATTATCGAGCACATAAACTCATTCAGCTTGAACCAAGGGAACCTGTGCCCACGGCAGCCAGATCAGAGGCAACATTCAGGCTGTGCTTTGGGCTTGTTAACACTGCAGTGAAGAAAATGACGTATTTGCTAAAGGCCGGTATCACACTGAGCTATAATTATAAGGAATGGGGGCTTTTGTTGCTTAATCATTACTGCTTGTGTTAGGTTTCCTTTGAACAGTTTTACCATGCTGTATTGAAACAAGAAACCACCAGAGGAACTATTGATCTTTTCCTGAATAGACATTCCTTCTCTTTCCCCAAAGCTTTCCAACATTATTTTAAAATCTGTCTGTTGCAAACTTGCCCACTTATGAATTAGTCAAGTACAATTTTTTTAACCATAAAACTTTTCTTTTTATATTTACCTAAATGAGCTGCAAGGATCTGGAGAAAGTATTAAAAAATTATCTTTGGACTGACACTGGGTAGGAACAACTCCAGAGTAGGATTTTACTATAAAGCCATACTATAAAGCTATGGAAGTGGAGAAGGCTGGTTGGCTGCATTAGAAGGAAGCCCAGCATGTCTGGGGTTAGCTCTGGGGCTGCAGTTTGCACAAAGCCCCATGACAGTTTTTGCTGGTGGCATGGGGAGAAAGGGAGGTTTTTCTAATGCTAACAGGTAACACTACTGTCTCTTTAAAATAAAGTAGGGTTGAACAGCAGGGTGATCTCCAGGAACAGATGCAGTGTGCCACGATGCCTCCCTCCCATAGAACTGCTTTCTCCTCTATGAGGCACTGCCCAAATAAAGGGCTTTTTTAGCCCAGCCAGCTGAAACCCCCATGGCCTCCTTAGGGCT